AATTTTACCTGCTCAAACTTTTACGCGGCCGTAAATTTGTGGAGTCACACATGGTTGGGAGCATTTACCTAAATTTTCAGCTTACTACCTTTTGTGGTTCCCAAGTTGAAGGTTGCGGACAAGTTGCTGTAAACACACACACACAAGCAACCTCGTGACGATATGCGTTTTGTACTGCTGTTACACAGCATAAAACGCATAAAAACAGACCTCGGCGGGCTCCTGCGACGTCTGCGAATCCTGATTGGATGGATCGGGTAGGCACTTCTCCAGAATTTCAAGTGTTGTCCGCGATTTCAACTCAGCAAGCATTTCTGGCTTTCTGATTAAAAGCAGACAAGCCAGAGCGTATAATTTCTTGCTCTTTGAAATATGGACGGCATATTTATATGTGCAAAGCAGATCAGATACTGATTCCGACTGCATCGCAATAAAATCAGGATGCTTGCAAATCAATTCAAATACAACGTCAAAAAGAGATTTTTGTTCCGACGTCGTACTACTGCTCCACAGCCAGTCAGTTTCCTCGACCGGGATGTGCAAGAGAATTTCAGCTGCTCGAATGAGATTACCAGCCAACAGGAAGAAGTATGCAGCTGGTAAACAGTACACGGGCGGCTGGAGAAGTAAAGACGACACTTCTGAGACCACGGCTGGCTCCAAGCTTCCCACAAAAGATATAAATAGTTCCTTCTGTCCATCAGTCAGACGTATTTCTAAAACAAAATGAAACAACTTCTTCGCATTTCAGTACATGCTTTGGAAACATGCCATCGTGCCTGGTAGAACATGCCGTCGCGTCTGGTTTGCAAAAACGTATGAGGTGACGTGACACACGAGATTGCCGGCCTGCTGTCCAGCAAAACCTGTAGCGGGACTGCTGGAAGCGAGCTGCTTTAGCGGACCGCAAAGCCTAAGCTTTGCTTAGAAGGTGTCGCTGAGAAAAGCAGAAAACTGACAGCATGCAGTGTATTTAGCATGCTGGTAGCTCAAATCTCTTCTAGTTCAAGAAACACCCCATCAAAAACTTTGCTAACGGTTGTTGATCTTTTACTTGCGTTAGAGACTAGAACACAGATCAAGAATTTATGGATTAGATAAATGCAGATTACAAGAATTCAACCTGAACTGCCGGAAGCACTTGCAAATGAAAGCTTCCGCGGTATCGTTATACTTGGGTTGCTTGATTTTACATATACTGTTCGCGGTGGCACATATCTCAGTGCCTTTCTTGGCAAATAATTTGGTCCTGCAACACCCATATGACCTTTATCATTCCGTCCCCATACGTAGATGTCGCCTTCCACCGATACGCCTACCGTAAAACCCAGGCCTGCAAAGACAATAACAGCTTGATCCATCACTTTATAAGATCTGCTTACAAGTATAATTATACTCAGTTGTAAGCATACCGCATGATATCGATGTCCATTTCACGCCCCCCGGATGAAGCAGTTGGTGCGGTACTCGCAGTGGCGACGCTCCTCCGTCGCTTAGCTCCCATGACAAATTGTCACCCCATGTGAACAGCTTTCCTGAACTGTCAATAAGGCCGCAGTGGCCGAAACCCGCATCAATGTGAATTATTTTTCCCGGAACCTGCAATCAAAGCGCTAATGATTGCGGTACTCAAACAGACGAGCAAGCATTACAAGCAGACTGCAGCTTCCAAGTCAACTCTGGAAATACATATGGCGGGATGTGCAAGCGTAGGAGAAAGCAGTAATGCAAGCTGATGGTGAGAGTGAGATAAAACTGAAAAGTAACTACGGGACGGGTTAGGATGGGGCAACACTGCTCGAAACTGCATTTGGACAATTTTTCACCTAAAACTTCACCTTGGGTAGCACTTCCAAGTAAATATTTTGAAGCGGAACGAACGCCTAAATCGCATTTCTACAATCTCTGTTGAGCTTCAAATCCGCACACATTGGGGTTACAGGCCCAGAAAGATCTAGATGGGGCAAATCTGGCGAACATTTGAAGTACTACGGTAAAATATGGCATCTATATCGAGACAAAAGCGTCAACATTGTAAAAAAGATTAAACAACTGCATAGAGGTTAAAAATTCCACAGTTTCTTGCCTCCAAAGCAATATATGTGCCAAGTACAAACCAAATGCATCACTTCGGTGACGGTGCGATATTTCCTTTTAAGGAATTGCAAATGCCGGTCCTTACTTCCGGCAGATTTTCGATGTCCCTTCGTTTGCGCTGCGAGTATAGCTGGCGCGATACCCCACCAGTAGAGTTGCTGTGTAGTGGTTAAGGCCAAAGAAAGGAAGTATTTTGAAGAAATCATCGTGACTTTCTCGGGAATCATTATAGGTATCGGGTACAGACACCGGATATCTTCAACAGATCGACCAAGTTGTCCGTATTTTCCGTTCCCGCAGCCATAGACACCAGTTTTTGTCAAAAATAATGTGTGCGCATAGCCGCAGGCGACCGAAATCACAGGTTCACTGAAAAACGGGGACAGTATCAATCAACTGCAGAAAATTTTAAATTAGATTTTACTTTAAAAATCCATCGAAAATTAACAGAGCTATTTGCAAGCTAGCGACTGTTTTTGCTAATGTGATATTATTCAAGGAGTACTGTACCGCCTTTTCGCCACATATTTCTCATCCAAGATGAAATGCAAGAAGGAGTTCATTCGGTTTTCGCTTCATCAAACTAATCTGAACTCTCATCTCCCAACTGCTGCACCACTAAACTACACTGCACTCTGCATGAAACATTCAATCTGTATCTGGCTGAAGCAAAAATTTTAATAATGAGGAATCGAACAAAAAATGACTTCAGGAATTGGAATTTTTAAGGTAAAACAATCAGACTGCATTTCAGTTTGAAAGTGAACAAGCACTAGGATTAGCTGGCAACTGCGCTTAAAAAGCATATGTCCAATGCTCCATTTTAAACGGAGCATCAAAATTTGAGCTGCTTGAAAAAACCGGCCCACAAACACGTCTCCTTTTTATATTCCGCCTGTTTTTTCTAGGAAGTGAACTTGTGATAATTACACAGTAGCACCCTATCTGGTTTTTAGCAGTCGAACTTAAAGGTCTCTGGTCCAAATGATACGGTAGACACTGCCTTCCCTCAACCTTCAGTCAGTGTGACAGAGTCCCGAAACTTTGTGCTAATTTGCAGCCCCAATACCAAATGCAAAAAACGAATGCTGAAGCTCGATGCCAGTTTTACACACTGGCTAGGTTGTACAGTCTGCAAAACTGTACTAATTTTAAAATCTTTAGAGCTGAAAGAAGCTATCAACTCGAATAGACACTGCCCAGAGGTTAGACACACCATTGAGGAATTTTCAAAGGTACTACAACTGATCGCAAGAAACACTAATAATGGTTTTTAGGGACCACTAACAGCGGACTTTAGAGATCTATTTAAAGCAAATTTTTGGAAGCACAAATTTGAGAATTCACGTGCTCAGTAATCAAAATCTGCCAGTATTAGCCGCTAATTAACGTTGAAAATCCTTTTTTTTTT